AATCGGTTTGTTACTCTAACATTGAATTGGCTTCTTATTCTCACTCCAAATGGCCTCTTACTCTTATATTGAATTGGCTTCTTCCTCTTGCTCTGAATGGGCTTCTTGCTCTTGAACGTATCTTCAGCTAACCTTTTCTTCTCTTTCCCTCCAAAAGGGATTCAAATATCTGTACCTGACCCCCCAGGACTACACCAAGATCAGTTCCTCAAACGTGGTGCATTGCAAACACGTGGAGGAGGCCGGCGAATCCAGGTGAGCGCATGATGCATTGCAGTCCCAAACCTCATTGTTGTCCTCCTCTTCATCCTTTACGCCACCTTTGTAACCCTCTCCCGCAGGTACATCCTCACTGACATAATTGGCAAAGACGAAGGCTTCGGGGTGGAGAATCTCAGGGCAGCGGCAGCCATTGCAGGGGAGTCGTCCCTTGCCTATGATGAAATCGTCACAATTAGCATGGTAAGGATTTAGAGCCTTTGTAAACCAAATAAATGGAAAGAACCATAATTTAATCCCTCCTCATTTCTATCCTGTAGGTCACTTGCCGTGCCATTGGGATCGGGGCCTATTTGGTGAGGCTTGGCCAGCGGGTCATTCAGGTGGAAAACTCCCATATCATACTGACAGGCGCCGCAGCTCTGAATAAGGTAGAACCCTAGGGAGCCAAGGGCTGTCCAATCCAACCCAGTCAGGAAGACACAATCCCATCCCTCCTGACAGATGGACATCATAATATGCTGAGCTTTTGGAGGGCAATTTTGTGTTTCCTACCTGACCAGGTCTTGGGCAGGGAAGTCTACACTTCCAGCAACCAACTGGGAGGAGTGGAAATCATGCACAACAATGGCGTCTCCCATGTTGCCGTCCCTGATGACTTCGAAGGTGTCTACACCATACTGCAATGGCTCTCCTATATGCCAAAGGTCAGGGCTGACCCTACTTAGCATTTCTGGATTTGGTGCCTGGGTATTTAGGCCCTAAATTCTTCAATCTTCTTTCTTTCTGATCTACTGTCTCTTCTTCTTCTTCTTTTGTTTAAAATTAAAATAAATGGTGTTATTTCTTATAGGACAATCACAGCCCGTTACCCATCATGCTACCCACTGACCCCATTGAGAGAGAGATCGAGTTTTTCCCTCCCAAAGGTCCCTATGATCCCCGATGGATGCTGGCTGGGAGGCCTCACCCCAGTAAGTGGGCCCCCCAAAGGCCATCCGTCCCATTCTGCCCCTTCTGCCAGGCGCCATCGAATCTCTCCTGACAGATGGCCACCTACCTTTTCTGTTTTCCTCTTCTAGCGACAAAGGGATCGTGGCAAAGTGGCTTCTTTGACCATGGCTCCTTCTCAGAAATCATGCAGCCTTGGGCCCAGACAGTGGTGGTCGGCCGAGCCAGGTATTAAGAGAGGAGGAAAGAGAAAGAAGGGAAGGA